ATAGAGCGACACTTCGTGGTTCGTTTGAAAATTTCGATCGTTAAAAGAAACTGGCTCATCTATCTTACCATTCACCTCCTTTAAAAGATTTTCCCGGCAATGGTTCGTTAAATAAGTACTATAAGGTATTCTAGGCGATCTAATTTCTGTAGAAACAAATAGAAATTCCAATATTTTAATTTTCATATTTCGAATAAAATACACACACACAATGTCAAAAAATTAATTCAATATACTTTTGTCATTTAAATAAAGCAGAAAAACATTTCGACAAATGATGGTATCAGGAATTATTGAAAACAAATTTTAATTAAATGTAAGAATAGTAAAATACTAGAAGTAGGTCAAAAACAACAATTGCCTTTATTAGAAGCTGCAGCAATTTACGATTTAATGATCAAATTTTTCGTCTCTTACAACGGTAACGACAATTATTGAAATTTACCGTATTAAAAAATAAAAGTTTTTTCTTATTTGAAAATTTTCACACGATTAAACCGTTAATCTTTTACGTACTCATCATATGATGAATAATACTATATAAACCGATATTTCTAGTTTAATATTTACCAAATGTTTATTGCTGTATATAATACAAATAAATTCTGTAGCATATTTATCAAAGTCTGATTTTTTTGTCTTCAAGATAAACAGATTGAAACTCGCAAATATCAGCACGTGTTTTTTCGTAAGTGCATCACATATGCTATGCTGTGTGATAATGATTTACACAATTTCTCTCGTCTCATTGTATTCCCTACAATTAACAATACGATAGCAAATATGATTTTGGTAACATTGCGCGCAGTCCCGTATGTGACGTTACACGGGAGCGTCGCTCGACATAGTATAGTCATTGATGGCACGCACTGTACCGTTACGTCGTCACGTTGAAAAGATTAAACCAGCGGAACCGCGGCTGGCAACGTATGTACAATCGGGAAAAGCTCCCGTCCTTTTACGTATCAAACAGTTTGACATACGACCGCGCTAAAAGCAAACGGAGAAATTACGGCGTGAGTAAAAATTCACCTCTTTTCACTTTCTTCCTTTTTCTTTCATGTTTTTTCTCTTCATCTTCCTCCGAAACGACACGCTATCAGTCGAACGATTTATTGACGAAATATTAATGCGAATCACGAAAGCGAAACTAACGAATGCTTAAACTTTGAAGCATACTCGACATTTTACTCTTACACTGCTTATCGAAACCATTAATTTGTCAAATTAATTCGCGATATATGTTATCATAATATCTGTGAGATTAAGATAATGTAAAATTCTTACCAAAGTTGTATCTACGACCGAATTGTAATTTTTCATCAAAGACATCACATGTATAATGGTTTGGTATTCCTTTGCAACGATTTGAAACATATAATAGATAATTTGTAGAGTAAAAAGTCGGAACAAAAATTAATGGCTACATAAAAGTTGTAAGGTGAAAATGGGAAGTCGTCCGCGCGACACTCTTTGCTTTCGAATAATTACAATATTTCACCATGGACAAACGCGAGTAAGCACATTGTTCGCAAAGCCTCCCAGAAATACAATAATTACCAGTAATGGCTACTGAAACGCGGTAATAAAAAACTTTATTATACCGTTTCTCTATACATATGTATTCAGGTCCTATTCTATGTTAAATTATTGCAATTTGAAAAGATCTTTCTTGAAAATAATTTTGATACAACACATTTTTATAAGTGTTTCATCATGTTTCAAAATAAAAGTTTAAATTATATATACATATAAATATTGATCGCGTTGTAATCTCATATATTTCTTTTCTTTCTCTCTCTAACACATGCCGAAAATAACCAGATGTGTACAACAAAAGAAATAGTCTACATGCAATGAAATCGATAAGATTTTTATTCAGATAATATAAGAAGTCATTGCATTCGTAACTTAAACATTACTGCGTCTTTTTCAGTCACAAGTATTGTCGAAGGCAATAGGACATTACTTTGCAGCTGAACCCTTAAGCCGATTTCACATCGGGTTTCTTCGCTCTAATACTCTCGGCGCGCACGTGATCGAGGGTACACGATTGGTTATTGCTGAGCAATTGATACCTTTGCCAAAGGTATCGAACCGTGAGATTGAAATACGATTGCGCATTTTTGCGGTGAAATGTCTCACGAGTAATTTTCAGCGATGAGTGCCTTTCAACAATCAACGCTGAATGACAATGCTTTCGTAGAAATTGCAGTAAAATGTCCGCAGCAGAGGGCATCGATCTGTGAAAATGGTTAGATAAAGAAACATGAAGAACGCAAATGAAAACAAGTATGACTGATCATTATATAAATTATAAAAGTAGATATAGTACGACTAAATAAATTTTATCTTTGGATTGTTTATATATATATTTGTATATATTCTTATCTTCATTTTTCGAAAATTTTTCTTCATTTTCAAAAAACAAAACTTATAGAAATAAAAAAATTATTTATGGCATTTCTTCACTTGCAAATAAGTTACGGATAATTTTATCCAGAAGATATCTCCATTGTATTCTGGGAGATATCTCCTGGATAAAGGTTATCTACAGGTGAAGAAATTTGGCATTAGAGTATAAGATATTTGAGCAACAAATTATTTACGTGTAATATTAGAAAAATTACTTATTAAACTAATATAATAAACACTGTTTGACTAAATGATTGATTTAACTTTCTTTAATAAAACTTAATATTTCCTTAACACGTTATATTAAAAATGGGGTTTTGTTTATAAAATAACTATTGGTTCTCTTTAACCGTCAAGATAATTGCTACGTTTCACTACTTTCGCTTCAAGTACTGACATTAACGATATTATTTTATGATTTTTTTTAGCCGATTTGTGGTTTTTAAAACTTTCAATATCAGAAAAGAAAATGTTGTTTACTAATAAGAACGCTATTATCACGTTTCGAAGAAACTCAATGATAAATTCAATTTAACAAATTGTATCTTTAATCATCCTGATCAGTGATGCAGAAGATAGCCTTGTTATTAATTCGACGTAGAAATCGTTTATTATATCATGTATCTTAATGCGATAAACACGTGTTCGCAGTTGTACACATTATTTTTAGTACAAGAGAGTCTGGAGGAGTTTCCACATCAACTTTTACGTGTAAAAACCGTTGTTACGGTATAAGTATTTACTAGTAATCTCATAAAGTTTCAGTGCAATCCTTATAATTATGCGCGCAGACTCTCGCGCATGCAAACAATTTAGAAATGTGCTTTTGACATGATTCCCATCATTTTACTTACATGCAGTAATTAAGCACCTACTTATTTAGCGTGTGCATAGTTTTGCATGATAAACCTTTAATAAGAAGGCCTGTAAAAATTGTATTATTATTAAACAATATTAACAACACTTAATTATTATTTAAATATACTTTAAATGGGTAATTTATATATTCCAATTTTTCATTGTGTTCAAAATAATTTTTAGTTATTTTTCAATCAGTTCAACTGATAAGCATTAATACAATATGTAATTTAGTGGCAATCAATCTATTTGACAATTGTGATTACCATTACTGATTAAAATTTCAAGATGGTTTAATATCAGATGTTTTATGTTTAATTAAGGCACATCTTGTCAGTCACGCTATGAATTCAATCTGCATGCCCAGTGAAATTAAATGCATCGAAAATTAGTAAGGTGGGCTGCGAAGCACTCCGAGAGAAATCCTTTCGCCGATATGCACGAACGAACATTGAGTAAAATCAGTTATAGTAATTGAGAGAGTACCTGAATAGTTTCAATTTATCCTATTATCCAGAAGTATCAGATTTGTAAATTATCAAACAATCTTTTTCGCTGAAGAAGATAATGAGCATTGGAAAAGAAAACAATATTTATGAAAGTTTTATTAACTGTTTATATCATATTCAATATGTTGCAACGAAACATTGCTTAAAGCTACTACTGTCAGCTTATTGATCTTTACATGGCTTCGCTCAATTGGATAGAACTTCCAATATAAAGTCAACATTGTTCCAAATCATGTCCTCGAAACATGTCCTCGTTATGAGAAAAGCAGAACTCATTGATAGCAAAGCAAATTGTTAGAATAATAAGGTATAAAAATACAATGATTAAATTTCAATTACTATTTGTTTCATGTTATCAAATAAAATCATTTCTGTCATCCAATATTTACTTTTTAATTGACAAAATATATCACGGTAAGAAATTTTAATGCACAGAGTTAAATGTACAAAGAAAACATTTGAATATTCTAATAAAATTAAATAAATTCTTCAATGTTACTTTCTCTGTGCATTTATACAAATTGATCTTCGTACTGTGCACGAATGCACTATTTAATGATTCTCACGACCAGTCTTTCGATGTACAGTCACGAAAGAAACTTGAAATTAAACGAAGCGCGTCTTTCTTAACAGACCTATATCTGAGACGAAGCAAAAGTGCGCCGGTCTAACCGATACAAGCCTAATACTCGAACTAATACTATTAAGGAGTTAATAGATATCCAATTGGAAAAAGAACGCTCCCAGTAGTGTGTCGCAGCTGGTAGAGTTAACAACGTTCCATTGATGCTTCTCCAATCTAATAAAGTATCGAGATTTTTAAGATTTCAAACTTTCGAGGAAAGCATATAAAAAAGTAATCGATCGATAATATTATACATACATTATCACGGAGAGCGATTGCTCAAAAAACTTTCTCTAATGCGCTTTAACATTTTTTGCAAAAAGTGTTCCGTGTTTAATAAAAAAAAAATAGATGAAAATGTCGCGTAAGTAACTTTTAGAAGTAACAAGATATCTCACATGTTACTACCCTATTTCAAACTAATCAACGCTTCATTGTTATCATTTTCAACATTCGAGAACAAAGAAAGTAAAAACGATTTAAATAATATCTTGCTGGACCTGTTTTTTTTTTATAAGTTTCACACTAGCATAATCACATAATCTTAATTCACAAGATTCTAACAGCGACGCGTTCATCGATTATGTGTAGAAATGACTGGAGGTGGAACTAACATGGCATATCACGGTCTCAGTCAACATGTCAATTTCGATGTGATACCGGATCCAGGCGAGCGTTTTCGATTGGAAGAATTGATTGGCGAGGGTACTTATGGTGAAGTGTACGCTGCTTACGATAAAGAAACTGGCAACAAGGTAGCTATCAAAATATTGGAGAATGTTGCTGACAACATCGAAGAGATTGAAGAAGAATATTTGGTGCTAAGAGATTTAAGTCAACACCCGAATATTCCTGTCTTTCACGGTTTATTTTTAAAGCGAGCTAAGCCTAGTCAGGAAGAAGATCAATTATGGTTTGTGATGGAGGTAAATTTCATGAAACAAATTTACAAAAAAGAAAATGAAAATGTAGAAAATTTTTCGATTAAAAAAACAAAATTAAAACACGTGAATTGATGAGATTATTTGTACAATTAATCATAAACGATGCTTCGTAAAAATTGTTATTTATTTCAGTTGAATTCTATAAATACCTTCCGTTAAAAAACAAACAAGAGTAAGGGAATCAATTAAGAAAATATATTTCTTAATAATTCGAAATTTTTATATAAATTGTAATTTTCTGCTTTCCTACACAGAAAGAACGATTTTGCTAAAAATCTAGAGATTTACTAAATACAGACCTGGAAATAATTTTGTTGGACCATTAAGGTAGTTATATAAAAAAACTCACGCATAATGAGTACTGCTGCAAAAAATTTTGACAACAAGCTTGAGCGTTCTACATAATTATTTGATACTTCAACAAAAATTATTTAGATGTGTGTATTTAATTAAATTTTTTAATATTTAAGTACAGAAAAGTCATTCTTTTTCTGTGTACGTACGAGTATCAATTTGTCGGAAGCTTTGAAGGAACAAACGGAATTGGGTTATGTAAAAAGTTAATTGCTCCGGTTCCAGTTGTGCACTGGAGGTTCCGTGACCGATCTCGTGCAGGGTCTTAAAAAACGTGTCAGTCGTCTAACGGATGACCAAATAGCTTATATCTTGAAGGAGACCGTCGAAGCTCTGATCTTTCTGCACAGTAATCACTGTATGCATCGCGACGTAAAAGGTCATAACATCCTCCTCACGGAAGAAGCGCGTGTCAAATTGGTCGATTTTGGTGTATCTTCACATCTGGCTGCGACTCTCGCCAGGAAAAACACATCTGTTGGAACGCCATATTGGATGGCACCAGAGGTGAGTTTATTTAAGCAATTTTACTGTTTTTAAAAGCAAAAATTTTATAGAATGAATAAAAGCAACGAAAGTAATATGTGGCAAATCAAACGATCTATTTAGAGTCAATTGAAAAAAGCGAATCTTGTACATGCATATAATTTCGAAATATTCGGTCATTTCATAATTTTGAAAAATTTGAAATACAACTATCCTTCGGTCATGAAACAGGTAATAGCTTGTGAGCAGCAATTGGATTCATCGTATGATTCGCGTTGCGATGTCTGGTCGATCGGCATTACCGCTATCGAGTTAACCGAGGGCGATCCTCCCTTATCGGAATTGCATCCCATGCGGGCACTTTTTCAAATTCCGAGAAATCCTCCCCCTTCCTTGAAAAATCCGGATACATATTCGTCGGAACTGACGGATTTTATAGCCGAATGCTTGGTGAAAGATTTGGAGCATCGGCCGTTTGCCGGTGAATTGAGAGAACATCCATTATTGACGAAGGTGGAACCAATCGTAGAGAAAATCAGAGAGCAATTGAGAGAAGAGATTCGTAGACAGAGAACAGAAGGTCGCGTTCATCGGCAGCCGGAAGTAACTACAAAACATGGTAAATTGAAGACGGACCGTAAAACGAGACCAGAGAAGATGTACATGGACGATTTGGCGGCTCTCGACATGTTCTCGGAAGAGGCTATTGTCGATCAATTACAGCACCGATATGAGCAAGCGCAGATATACACATATATCGGGGATATACTGGTTGCTGTTAATCCTTTCACTAATCTAGGTTTATATACCGGTATCGTAAGTATTTTATTAATTTAGATAAAACATAACATTAATAAATATAATTAATAAAGTATAAATCATTAGAGAATTATTATAATAATTCACTCTTCAGGAACAAAAACGGTACAAAGGACAAGCGAGATCAGATAATCCTCCACACATATTTGCAGTCGCCGATGCCGCGTATCAAGCTCTACTTCATCAACGTCAAAACCAAGCGATAGTTATCAGCGGTGAATCAGGTGCCGGAAAGACGGAAAGCGCAAATTTACTATTGAAACAGCTCGTCTATCTCAGCAAGGCACCGAATCGTAACCTCGAGGAGAGAATACTTCAAATAAATCCTATAATGGAAGCTTTCGGAAACGCCACGACTGGCATCAATGCGAATTCTTCCAGATTCGGAAAGTACCTGGATCTAACAATGACAAAAGGCGGAAAAGTGACTGGTGCGCGAATTTCAGTATACCTGTTGGAACAATCACGAGTGATTGCTCAAGCTGAGTGCGTTCTTAAAAATTATATATACAATACAAATTATATGTATAACATATAATTCGTATATACTATACATATATGTATATAATTTCATTAATCACAAACTAAAGACAATAAATTTTGGAACTTTCCAGGGGAGAAAGAAATTTTCATATTTTTTATTATATGTACGATGGCTTGGAAGCGGATGACCGCCTCTCGGAATATTACCTCGATCCTACGCTTCGGAGATATCATCGATATCTCACGCATTACAGTCACACATCGCAAACGCACATTGACAAGTTCCAGCAGCTCAAAATGGGTTTCAAGGTACTCGGATTTCAGGATAGCGAGGTAGACACGGTGTATCGGGTTTTAGCCGCTATTCTCCATCTAGGTGACATTGAATTTGCCGAAGTGGCGACACAAGACAACACCGATAATAAAAGTAGAGTCATCGACACTATTCCATTACATAGAGGTAAAATTTGTCTTGTCTTCTTTATATTTCTTATAGTAGTTCAATTCATTGAAAATCAAATATTATTAGAATTAATCATGATTAGAATTAATTTATCAATAAAAGTCCTACATGTTTAGTATATATATATATATATCTTAATAAACATAAAAAAAAAATTAATTACATGCCATAATTATAGAAATACTGGGTTTTCAGTATCGAAACTACTCGGCATTGAACAGAATGATCTCCTAGAAGCCTTGACATCGAACTCGGTGATGACCAGAGGCGAGACAATTACGCGGAACAATACGGTAGCCGAAGCTCGTGCAGCTCGCGATGCAATGGCCAAGGGTCTCTATGGCCGGCTCTTCGATTGGATGGTCAACCAGATCAATTGTTTACTGTGCTTCAGCCGTTCGCCGAATTACGAGCCGCTAGCAATCGGGCTACTCGATATCTTTGGCTTCGAAAACTTTCCCAGAAACTCGTTCGAACAGCTCTGCATCAATATAGCTAACGAACAGATACAGTATTACTTCAACCAACACATCTTCACTTGGGAGCAACAGGAATACATGGCCGAGGGAATACCCGTGGATCTCGTCGAGTTTTCCGACAACAGGCCGGTTCTCGATATGTTACTAAGCAAGCCCATGGGACTTCTGGCGCTTCTCGATGAGGAGAGTCGATTTCCCAGAGCGACCAATCGATCTCTGATCGGTAAGTATACATTCTAGATACATTATTATTCTATAAACGTATTTTTGTGCTGCTATGCTACTTTCATTCAATAAGGATATACGATTTTATGATGAGACATCTTACAGTTAATTTGTTTAATATTAATTTAATTTAATAAACAAAAATTTTAATATATATTTTTAAATAAAACTTTTTACTTGCTAATGCGTGATTATACTAATCGATACAACTCTTCACTTAAAGTCATAGCGATTTTAAATAGTGAATAAAACAGTCGATCTATTTATTTTTATTACTTTGCGCAATTTTTTTCCGGCAGAAAAATTTCACAACAATATTAAATCAAAATTCTACGTACGCCCCAAATCGGATGCAGTGTGTTTCGCAATATATCATTTTGCTGGTCGTGTGGTCTATCAAGCCGAAGGATTTCTCGAAAAGAACAGAAACTTTCTGCCACCCGAAGTCATTCAACTGGTACGACAATCGCAGTACGACATGGTTCGTTTCCTGTTCCAATGCCCGATTACGAAAACCGGTAATTTATACTCGGCACTGCAGGAGAATGACTCGCGAAAATCGCAATCGAATCAAAACACAAAGGTATGTGCGTGTGAGTGTGTGTGTGTATGTGCACATTAAATTATATTTTTCATTTTTGTATGGAGTATTAACGGCGTATTGATGTCTCGTAGGAACGTTATTCTAGTCGAGGTTTAGCATCACAATCGAGAGCTCAGCAGACGGTAGCGACATATTTCCGGTATTCTCTAATGGATCTATTACAAAAAATGGTGTCCGGTTCACCTCAGTTCGTTCGATGTATAAAACCAAACGATTCGAAAAGTTCACGTTTCTTCGATAAAGAGAAAGTTGTAAAACAATTGAGGTATACCGGTGTGCTCGAGACAATACGTATAAGACAAAATGGATTTTCTCATAGGATACCGTTCAACGAATTTCTTAAGAGGTATTTTCAGATTGGTTACAATTTCTATATAAACGGAGAAATGCTGAATACCTTCGTTTCAATTTTTATCAATTATACTATACAGATATTGCTTCCTTGCTTTCGGCTATGATGAACGCGTAATTGCCAATCGAGATAATTGTCGGCTTCTTTTATTACGATTAAAAATGGATGGATGGGCGTTAGGCAAGACAAAGGTTTTTTTGAAATACTATCACGTCGAATTTCTCTCAAAATTGTATGAGGAACAATTGAGAAAGATAATTATAGTTCAAGCATGTGTTCGAAGATGGCTCGCAAAATTAAGATTTAAGAAGCAAAAATGGCAATTTGCTGTGTCAGTGGTCACATTACAACGTCATATTCGAGGATGGTTATCCCGAAAACAGACAGAACAAATGTTGGCTGAAAAACGTGCGAAAGAGGAAAACGAGACGCTTGATTTTATGTTGAGTGAGTTTTATTCTCAATTTTGGCAATTTTCCTAGATGACTCCATTACGTATCAGCATTTATTTTAATATTTTTATAGATGAGGTGAAACGTAGAGAGCAAGAAAATATAGATGTAAATAATCGCGAAAAACGACAAATACGTAGAAATCTAGAAAAGAACAATGCTGCAACTGTCATACAAAGTCGTACGTATATAAAAATTGTATTTGCTACCTATATAATTGATAGCCAAGAATATGGTATACATATAATTGAATTTTTACATAGACTTCCGAGGTTACACTATTCGTAAGCGGTTTGGATACGATTTAGAGGAGCGTTTCAAGAGGATTTTGAACAATTACGACAATATATATGATGGCCACAAGGCACTGTTGCGCGAAGGATTAAAGCACGAAGACGCAGCTCTTATTGTTCAAAGATGGTATAAAAAAGAAGAAATACTAGTCAGAAAAAAACCAGCCGTGAAAGATCCTGTACATCCTAAACTACGACAAGCAGATCTAATTCAATTTTCTCAAAATGTAATTTTTTTACTCAAGTTCAACTCTTATCTTTTTACTTAGTATTAAGAAACAATACGATTGTTGACAATTGTTAATTTGATTAAGTCATTAACTGTTATATGATCTCTTTCTATTAATAGGTACATATGAAGAACCAGGAGGTACACAAAAATCTCCGTCGCAACAAACCTGGTATTAGATTGAATGATATCGAGGAACCGCCGCTCGATTACGTACGTCCGCAAGGATTTAATATGGTGCAGTCAATATTACAGTACCGCAGCGGAATGCAGCCACAAGAGGAAGACAGTGTCAAATATTATCAGGATCTGAAGGAGGAGATGAGCAGGTATATATACATATATATATATATACATTTATATATATGTACATACATATACATAAAAATCAAGGCGCGCTATGCTTTGACTTAGCATCGCGAACGAATCAGAAATTTAAATGCTCAATTTTCGAATGCTTTTGGCACTCGCATCGCAAGTGGTTCGGAATTCGAAGACGACGAAGTTGGCTGGGACTCGCCGTTGATACGGCTAGAGAATGACCTTCATTCATCGAGGTACACCGTATATAGATTTGGTCGATCGTATCTATACAAATTTATTCTGACGCTAGTATAAATATATATACACATATACTATATATATATATATGTATATGTATTTTTATCATTTACGTATTATAGAAAGCAAGAGGATCCTAAAACGCATACTTGAATCTTCAAATTATAAAAAAAGTTTATAATTAAACACTTTTTTAAAATTTTAACACAAAGATTAACTCACAGTAGAATCAATCTTTTTCAAATTAAATATAAATTTTTATTTCTAAGAGCTTTTTTTACTTCGATTATAAATATTTTTGTGCACATACTTGTGTTTGAATAATCAGATGCAATGGTTCGTTGATATGTGTCATATTAAATTTAATCTATATTGATGTAAAACGAGATTATTCTCATATAGGAGTCAGAGGAGGAGTCATATTCTGGACGTAAGTGCCGAGAGGAGAGATCGTACAGTTCAAAGCGATTTCGTAGTGGCACCAGAGCAACATCTATCAAACATTTGGCACAAAGCCCTGCGATACCCCTCCGATTTACGCAAAAACGAGAATTCCAAAAAAAATGTCAGGTAAGAATTGTAACATACACATGCGAATAATCGTACATTTTACAAGTTCTTACTTACATGATAAATGACTTACTTGAATGTGCTCAATTTGATAGTTAAAACTAAAGAAATTTAACTATGATAGATTTTTCTATGATTCAATTATTCAAAATTTATAAAAACAAGCTCTATGTACGTTTATTGTAATACATTTTTTTGGAACTATATATATCATTTATAAATTTTGTACCAATTGTAATTTTACTATTACTAATTATAAAATGAACATATATTTTAATAAATATCTAATAATATGACACGTGAATTTAAATCGATGAGAATAAATCTAAATAAATACAAGAATTCTCATAAAAAAATATCTAATAAAAATGCTAATCTCGCATTTATTTTTTTATATATGTTGCCAGAGGCATTATGGTAAATTTTCAGGTAAAAATATAAATTTATTCTACCACTACTTTAATAAGTATACATACACGTATAACTGTTACAATTAGTGATTTTATAATTCGCATTTTATAATTTAGTCTCAATTCATAAAATGAAATATATTATCTGTAGTAAAAAAAAATTAAATATGTCTCTTTTAAAGCTTTTCTTTAAAGATCAAATTCATAATAGAATCCATTTTTCCAGTACAAGGGTTAATAACCTGCGTAACGAGAACCTGCAATCACACACGAACGGACAATATGCAATCGGTTCTCCGAATATCCACGATCCACCTGGCTTACGACTCACGATCGATGGCCGATATAATGCCGTAAACGAACGTCAGAATGTCTTTAATGGACAGAATCTTGTTAACAATCACCACAATTCCGTCGATGAGTATCACACATCGATTAATGGTACATCGATCAACAATCATCAGACTCCTTGTAAAATAAGTAACGACATTGCAACGAGCCAGATAAAAATTTTAAATACTGAACAATCAGAGTTAAGTAACAAATCAGAAAAGACAGATCGATCAAATCATAAGCAAAATAGCTATCCGATAAAAAATCATCAGAATAATATAGATCATAAGAATGATCTCAATCGATTAGCGAACGGAAAAGCGACGAATCAGGAACAGTTTCAAAACGATACTTTCAATATCACAACTAATCTTAGACAACTTCTAAGGCCAACGGTGATTGAGAAGCGGCGAGAGAGTACCAAGTCTGCATATGATACGGAAGATATTAATGGACCTTACAATTTTAGGCAATTGTTAAGACCAACCGAGTATCTCCCGACCGAATCTTTAAGGAAAAGGAAAGGCGGAACTGTTTCCAATGGAGTGCCACTACCGAAGGATAAGGCTCCGGAGAAACATGTTAAGAGAAGAGCGCCATTGGCGCCGACACAAAATAAATTGGTCAACGCAAACAAGTGATGTTACTTTATATTATTCAATGGAAATATTTCAAAAGATTTGATTTTACAAAAGATGATTTAATTTTTATGAATAATATACCTGATATAAAAAAGTCGTAGTTAATTGTAAAACACTAAAAATTCGTAATTAAACGCGTATATGTATATTTTCTGATGATAAGTAGTGAAGAAAGTTAAAATTGTATTGTTATTGCCATTTATAGAAAAAATAATCTATAGAAAGGCTATTATAGGATAACTCTTATACATATATAGGAGGTCCAATAAATTCTATGTAGAATATAAGATGGATAGTTATATCATATTTTGTGAACATTAAATTAAGCAACAAAAGTAATGTATCGATACAATTTATCACAGAAATGCGCATTGAATGCAAATACTTTCCAATATATAGAAATATATATTTTTACTTTACACACGAAGATATGTGTAGTAGTCATAGTAATATTCTATCGAAATTCTATTCTTTTTTTAATAATTCTACATTTATCTTCTTTCTTTTCGCAAAATACGTTTACGAATTTGTATACGATATACGAAGCTACGTGATTTCAAAATGTAAAGAATTTTCTTTATGGTTATGCCTATGATCACGGCGAAAAGAATTTGTAACATTATATAAAAATATGAATAAAATATTTCGCGATATTCATTTTTAAAATATAACTAATAAAAATTAAACACTTATAAATGTAAAATTTTATGAAAAATTTACCTTACATATATATCTTTGTTATAAAATGTAATTATTGTACACAAGAGCAGTGTTCAACGAATCATGTTATGTCGAGTACACTTATAACTTTATAACATAAGTTATTATTCCCTCGCTGTACGAGTTCATATCTAGAACTAGTCATATCTAGCTTTATTTGCGTCATAAGTGTTCATTGTTTTTTGAAGCAAGTATTAATAAATCAAGTTCATTACAAATTTTTATATAATTAATTAATAATTTATTTTGTATATCCAAAGTAAGTATGTATAATCACAGTTGCAGGGAATGGAAAGTTACTTTTTAAAAGTTACAGTTACTCGTTATACTGATTGTGAGTAAAAAAAGTAACGAGTTATCGTTACTTTTTAAAAGTAACTCGTTACAGTTACCGTTATTCGAAAGAAAACTTTTCGTTACTTTTCCGTTACCTTTTAAAAAACACTCTGAAAATGAACTTTTGCAGTATTTTTTGTTTAAGCGTTAATAAAAGCTATATATATATAGCATGTATAACACTGACACTATGTATAGTTTTATTTTTTAGTTTTTTTTTTAACACAATTTCGTAATTCTAAAACCTGTAAAATATGTAGCAAACTGAGATATACATATGTTTGATGTATCACATAGAAGATAGAAGTGCAAAATAATTCCTGAAATAATAGTACTGTAATATATTTCTCAGCTGTCAAAGACCACTTCAGGATCGTTACAGCAGTTGACAGCTAAAATATTTCAGGAATTTTTTTATACTTTGTAGAAAACTAGAAGATTATATAGGATTGTATAGGACTATCTGAATCACAATATAAGTTAGAGATTAAAAGGAAAATTAAGAAATACATATAATCTCTCTTTATTATAATACAGCTATATTTTTATTTAATCTATACTTTTAGCTGTAAATCAAATATTTTGATAGAAAGAAAATTATAACGCTATAATTAAAATATATAACAGAAGTTTTGCGAAAAGGTGTGTTTTCCAATTGCTCAACATAAATGTACGCAAAAATGTATAGAGTAAAGCGTTTTACACAGCTTAATTAGAACAAAATGTGTACGATGTTTAAATTAAGTTAAACTAAATGTTGCTTGTACGCCTGTATCACAAATAAAAACACTCAATGTCCTACAATCATATTTATAGCTGTCGTAATTAATAACATGTAATTGTTATATAACAGAATAACGTGTCCAATTGTATGCAAGTTACGATAAAATTAACTGTAAATTCGTTACCAAAAAATGTAACTACGTTACCATTACAGTTACCAAAAAAAGAAAGTAACGCAGTTACCAGTAAAGTTACCAAAAAAGTAACTGTAACTTCGTTACAAAAGTAACGAGTTACTTCCATTCTCTGCACAGTTGTTTATTAATAAATTTCCAATTCATTTATCCTGAAAAAAAAAGAAGCTTATCCCATAAATGATTCTTGAGAGGATTAAACTTTTTATCTTCTATATATGACGTATATGTCTTGATTGAATTTTGTTCCATTCAATCCGCGGTTTTTATTTTTTTTTATTGTTATATAAATTATTTCAATAATAAGAGTGAACTGTCAAAATGTGAATGTGGCAAGTTTATTTATCACTGACATAAATAATAAATAAATATTAAAGTATGTAAATGCGACTCGCATAGACTCTTGATCGCTTAATGTATTATCGGTTAATTATGCACGTTACTCATAGGTTCTCTCCTTTCCACTTTCGGAAGCTCAGGTGTTGAAGAATATCTTATGACTTTCGTGTAAGTCCAAATTACTGGCGGCCGTTAACGACAGTATCGGCGAATCAGCGAAGAGTGTTACGCGAGAAACCAAGAGATGGCTAGGAGTGTAGCGTCGCGACGCCCAGCGCACCGGCGCGGCGTCCGGCGTCGGCGGCAGTAGTTGCGTCGGCGTCGCCGTCGTCGTCGCGCGACGTCGCCCTTGTCATTGCCGGCTCGGGCACGGGGCTCGAAGACCATTGGTTGATCCATAGGTAGAAGGGTGTCCGGTGGCTGTCAGCGACGGCAGCGGGGGCAAGGGTTGCAGTCGTGCCGGGCACGCGGGCGGGGGTAGGAGGGGTGCAACGAACCCTCTCGCCTCGGCTCGAGTCTACGGAGCACGGAGTTGTGTTCGAATCATGGCGACACCCGACCCCGTAGACCCAGCCACCCTAGAGATTAAGACCCGTAGCATAGAACAGACACTACTCCCACTAGTGAAACAGGTAAGATGTGTTTCCGCGTGAAAATGCGGCAACCAGAGTTTTCGTTCGCACCGGCGGCGCGCCGTCTCTTTCCCATCTGTCTCTTTCTGCCTGCATCCCTCTCTTTCTCTCGCTCTCTGTACTCTTTCTCTCTCTGTTTCTCTCCCTGTCCCCCCTTTCCTCGCTCTCCCATCACGCAGACCATCCTTCTCTTTCTCTCTCGTCGCGAACTCCATCTGTCTCAGTGCACTCACTCTCGATCTTTATTCCTCTCGTATGACGCTTCTTCGCATACCCGGCACCCCCGCGTCTCGTTACGCCACGGTATATTCGATCCCTAACAGATTGAGATAATTTCTCAATCCTCGGAGTCACTCCCTCGTTACTCCAATTACGCTTGCAAAATATGCGACCCGTACGCGACCTGATGACGCGTCCGTCGTAGAATCGAGTAAGCGAACACGACGAGAGTCGTGCTGCATACGGCGCGGCCGAAACGCACACAGCGCCGTATGACATCGAAAAACGCAAGACGTCGACGAAATGGGTACGCGTGATGCGAGAAAGATCGAGCAGTGAATCGAGTTGAAAAAGTGAGCTCGAGGAAACAAACTTATAAAACGGTGATATAAGATCTCTGTCTCGCGCTCCGCTGACGCCACTCCGAAACTAGAAATAGCGCGGTTCCCACGCTTTCGATCCGCGTGCTATCGTCGCTATCGACATAGTAGAATTTTTCCGAATAATTTTCATCTTCGAACAATCTTAAATCGCTATAATAGTTCTGACGAAGCTCAGACTAACATTCGGAACGTAAGAGCATTATTTCACGAAATTTGACAAGGCTAATGTCACGTACGTACAGACATGTGTCCAATACGTACAACTTGTCACAAGACGCACGCTGCGTACACGGTAACGGATATTTCGGTGGTCCACTATCTTTGTCATTTGTCTCTTCTCCTCTCTCTTTCGCTCCCTCTTCCGCTACTGTCTCGCACTTTCTGCACTTGTCTTTTTTTTCCGCGTTGCTCACTTCAGCTGTGTTGTGGCGCACGCTCACCTTACTGCTTGTCGACGCCGATACCGGCGTTTTCGTGGAATTACGTTGAATTTACCCTGCACCCTCGTTGCATAATCACCGGCACGTGCGCGATGCACGCACGCGAGCCATATACACGGATCTGCAGTTCACGGGTCAAAGGCCTTTAAATGACCGCCCGCGAGGAATAAATCGCTCTCTGCTCCGACACGATTCAGCAAATTTACGCGAAAAACGTATGTAACGTGCAAAGTTAAAAATTAGAAATATCCGCTTTGTCTTCACAAAACTTCAGGTAATTAAAAACTGAAGTAAATTTATACATATGCTTTATATGTATATGAATACTTTGTGTACCGAAATATTCACGATTACTTGTGCGCAAGATATAAATCGATACTTCTTTCGTCCTACCTTCCAGTACATGGTCAAAATTATGATTTCGTTTAAAGAGCACTCACAGATTTTCTCAATAAAACAATTATAAATGCACCGCATGCAGTAGATTGCACTTGCGTTCATAATTTATTCACATATATTTATATGTATATATACACACATGGTTCACTAACAAGTCAAATATCACGAGAACACGTTCAATTAAACAACGTGTATTTCGCTTCATGCACGCTCTAGATCGAAAACTATTTCATTATCTCATATATCCAATAAAACTTGTTACAGCAAATTATTATTAAAATGATAATATATGCGAATTATCATTAACGTAATATACATATGTCACTGGTATGTTTAACTGAAATTAACTGCATCACCGAATATCAAATGGAAATTTCACAATAATCATAATCTACAGAGAGACAAAAAGAAACTTTATCAATTAAAAAAAAAATATATGTTTTATCTCTTAAGAAGATTTACAATTGTGTGCTTAAAAAACCCACTACTCAGTCTGCGATTAATCTCGTCAAACGAAACAGAGACCAATCTAATTTACGCTTTCGTTAAAACCAGCTGTGCCTAAAAAAGAGATTACGTCGACCGATTCGTGAGCGCGAGTTTCGCATGCAATCCGATTGAGCTCGATCCATCAAAAAAGAATCGTTATTCCCATGAAATAAAATAAACAAAACGGATAGATTCGAATAAATTCTTTTCCATTTTTCGTTGTAATTAATTTAGCAATTGTCATTAAAAGTATCGCTATTAAGAAAAAAGAGAGAGAGTTAAAAAGGAACGGCGGATGATAGATGATAAAAAGTCGATAGTTTTGCAAACACTATATCGAATCGATCGAATCGGCTGACGCGGTAATTATCATCTATAAAATGAAAATGCGCGGCAGCAAGATTAGAAGAACAAAAAGAAGAACGGAAAGGAAATAGACGGAGGTTATTTCGAGAATGAAAGAGGGGTGCCGATCACCGCTCGTGGCCGACCTTCGTGTCGTGTTTATCGATATTTCTGGCGATGTAGCAGAGTATGCATACATGCACAGAGTGTGTATATGTGTTGGTTAAACTCCTCGGGTTAGAAGGGCGTGCAGTACGAGTGGATTGGCTGGTGCATGGCACAGAGGGCGATCGTTACGAGCTGCAGCCACTTGTTAGAGCTCCGTCCAGCTACCCCCGCGCATACTTATCTCCGTCGTCATTTCTTCTTCTTGCTTCTTCTTATCACCTCTCTCTTCTACTTTTTCGCCCTTCCCACTAGTTCGCTTTTAGCCTACGTAGTAGGGTTTTAAGCCGCTTTCTTGGTGATTTCCGTCACGATTTTGTCTCGCGTCGGATTTTCTGTTCACTGTCTCTATACTATCTTGAACACCTGCGCATCTCACATATTTCGATCGCGACCTCCTTCTGTATATGGAACCTTATAAATTGTTCTCGAATGGGGAGAAATAATTGTACCTTAGTGAACTATACTCTGACTCTTCTATAGAAAACGTTTGAAAATATCAAGGAAATTCAGGACTACTGTAGTAACTTTTGAATATATACGCAAATCGCCTCTTGACATTCTATCAAAATAAAATTTCTTAGAATCTGGATTCTATTCTTTAAATTTATGTAAACTAGTATATATATATATATATGTAAAAATTTTTTAAACTATTAAAAGAACTATTAAACAATTTCTTAATAATAATTAATCACTCAATTGTCTTAACTGATACATAATATTAAAAATGTGAAGTTTTTATACAGTAAAATGCTAATTAATACAAATAAAAGCAAATGTTATATCTGACTAACAAGATTTATAAATATGCATATGTATGCAACGGATACATGTATATATGCATATGACAAAATGGAATAAAGATAATTTGACCACTGTTACCGTCGTTGCAACAATAACATATGTTTCACGCCAAAAAAGAAACTTTTCATTAGCTGTTACCCAAAGACAACTAAATCATACTTCAAACATCATGTTATAATAAGAAAATGCTGAAAATATTTATCTTATATGCTAGCCAGAATTACCAATTTCTATTCGTTTTACTTAAATTCAATCACACTTGTATCACTTTTGCGAAATTGCCATCACTTACTTGCTACGAATGCTTTAGTCACGTTGGATATCAACCATTATCAATAGAAATGATAACAGTGAACGGAGGACAAACCATCGCCCACGAAGACTTCCTCGAGAACGCCATTCTTGGACATTTTAATTAACTTCTACCTCTTGATCTAATCTCAAACTGACCCTTACTAGCACGTTACTGATTGTTAGCCGCAGATGCAGAAAGGAAGTTGTGACTATTACACAAATATTATTTAACTCCTACCATTTTAGGAACTTTGTGCAAATTATTGAATTTTTCAAATTTCTTTTCTAAGTTTAATTGATTGAGAAGGCAAGAGATTCATATTTTAAGCTACTCTACGATGTTCTGAAAACATTTCTGTACCATCAATTTATATGCTGGAAAAAATCTGGACAGTTAAAGTGCATAATATCCCCCTTAATTAGAGACGAACAAAATGTATTTGTTTAACATTTTCAGCAATTGTTTAGCAATTTTGTTGAATATTTCACATTTTATTGATTGGCGAATTGTTATTTTCTGTAAAACGCGCAGTTTTCTTGTGACTCTCTCTTTCTTTCTCGTTTTCTGAAAATTATAAATTTTGGACAAAACGCATTTTGAAATTCTGTTCTTCAATTATTTGAAATACTATTTGAACAAATACATATATCGCGAAATTACGTAAGATATAAGCTGTATGTAGACATTTTAGTTAGATCATGATATCGTTAGGATGTGTGTGTTGTGTGTGTGATAAAAAGTTTTCACTCCAATTATTCTATTTCTGCTTATTGCACCCATCTCTACACTATTTAAGTACCTATAAAAGTATTATAGCAAATCATTATAAGGAACCTTATATATATATATATGTATATATATATATATATAGGTTAAGAAAATTTTATATTAAATTATATTCTAAGACGTTCCAAGAAGATTGTGCTTTATTGTTTTCAACACGTTATAAATAACCCCTTCAGTCAAAATGGCAAAGTAGACGAACACGCAATGAAAGCAGAGACAGTTGTGCTAGCAACGAATTTTTCTTCGACTCTTTTCTTGAACTCCAGTATTATAACTCTCATGCATAATATATTTTCAATTTTACTCATTTTTTTCTTTTTAATTCAATGAGTAAAAGAATTTTTGTTTGAGTTTGCGATTACTACTTACGTCCTCAAGCGATTGCGCCAGAGCGCAATAAACGCGTCATATACAACAACACCATTTGTTATTCAGAGACAGATCAAATATAGTATTACTAAGCTATTCTACTAATATTGACTGTTGACCTATTCGATCAACAGTATCTTCAAGTTGTAAAGAAGTCGCCAATTCTTACAAAATGTCATTTGATCGGTATCCCATTTAAGTCTTTCTTATTGTTAGAAAAACTTTTTGTAAGAACGACCGAGCGTAAAGGACTGACCAACCAATATTAACCACATATCAATCGCTGTCAGCCGCTGTCCAATA